CGTGTACACAGGAGAGATATATGTGAAGGAAGAGATGTGGCTATACGGAAAGAGTTATATAAATGAGATGTGTAGCTGTGACTGTGTGGAGATTTGTAACTGTGTGGAGACAAGGAAAAGGAAGCTGTATAGAAAAGAGATGGAACAATGCAAAAGAGGTATGTAGCTATGTGGAGAATGTAACACTGTGGAATGTAACTATGTGGAGACAGATTTACAGAGAGAGGATTTTGTAAGATGAAGTAAAAGAGAAAGTTACCATCAGAAAAAGTGTTTCTTTATTTTCCCCTATCCTTCACTACCTTCATGGATATTTTTTTTTATGAGAACATATTTTAATATATCACCAAATACAGCCATGTATACCAAAAGAACTATGATGACTTTAACAAGAAAAATATAGTGAATGTAAACATGATCTATATTACCTCTAAGGTGTCTGCAGCAATCTAACTAGAAATAAATACACACCCCAATGCCCCCCACACATTATGTACAGGTTATATGAGCGGGGGTTATGAAACACATTGAAAGAATGAAGACACCACATTCACACAGGTTCTCATTTTACTCAGCTCAAATTCTTGATCCACAACTATTTCACACCTAACATTTTACACAGGAAGATCCTAAATCAAATCATTGCAGGGTTTTCTAAGTGTAAATTCATACAAGCAAGTCACTATGGTGCTTCCCATTTAATTGCAGAAAATTCTCAAGCTCTATCCACAACTATTTACACCGTGCTTAAGAACAAGAAGTAGGCAATAGGTGTTTCCAAACTTTCCCCATCTTACGGATGGAGAGACCTGAAGGCCACGTAGAGCATTAGGATTCAGTTATTTTTTAGTGATAGTGTTTGTGGCTCAAAGACAAGTCCCCACAGGCAGACTGGTTTGAATACTGCTGGCAGGGGAGACACCATGATCATGGATATTTTTACATACCCTGGAGGTGAGCTTGGAGCAGGCTCTCCAAAGGCTATCCATAATGTTCTCCCTATAGGACAACTATATCACCTGACTATACTGGAATTTCAAGGAACATTTGCCTTGGATTTTCTAGCTTTGTATTATAGGAAATAAATGTTGTTTATAAAACACAAATATTATAGTATTTCTTTGTACCATCTCAAAAGACTAGGAAAATGTTCCTGTGCATGGACATTTATCTCTTGCCCCAAACTGATAAGAATATCTTCACTGTGCAGAGAAAGCCCTGGATTGGCAGGAGTTGATACAGTTTAGGTCAAAGAGGTCTGTGGAAATGGTGAAATAATGGTCATGCAAAAACTCTGAGACAAGGTTAGAAATCACAGGCATCCTTGAATTTCATTGTCTTCTTTCTACTCTCACTGAATCAGGTCAAGCCTGGTTGTCTGGGATGACCCTCCTATCTCATTGAGAGATAGTGGAATCCCTCAATCTTGTCTGAAATGCATGAACAGTAAAACCACATAAATGTTTGGTGAATCCCTGGTGTTTTAGGCTAGGTGACATACAGTGGTGAGTAGGTAAAGACAGTAGGAAGGAGCACCTGGTCCCCAAATATAGAGCATTGAATATCCCCCAAATTTGGAAATTGTCCTAGTTTGTTATCTATTGATATGAACAACACAAGGACCAAAAGCAACATGGAAGTGAAATTCTTTCTTTCTTCTTACAACTTATCACGTGGGAAAACCAGGACATGAAAAAAAAAAACTGTACAGACAGGATCCTCCTGTGAAATAGAAAAGAAGTCCCAATAGTATGGAGATTCCCTTTAAATTCTCTCAAGTATGTTCTATGATTATATTTATAGAAATAATTGAAAGAAATCAATTGCTATGAAAGCAATCTCATTTTTCTTCTCTTTGATGTAGGTCACAGGATAACACATAGATCATGGAAAAGAGAAAAGAGAAGTAATTCTTTCTTGGGTAGAAGTATTCCTATCCTCTAATCATTTATTGAGATACTTCATTTTGGACAGTTCATATGAGCAGAAGAAGTTGCATAAATTCAACATCTCTAATTTCCAAAGAAATGGCAATTCAGTCCTAAGTGATAAATTGTTCTCCTGGCCTTTTCCCTTTGGAAAGAGGTTGACTGAATTTTTCTAATAGAAACTGATTCTCCTGGTCTATTTGTTTTCTAAACTCATGGATGGTTTGTCTCCGCCTTCCTGACCACAAGGCCTTTGTCTTCTAGGGTTGGGTTTTATTTTATGCAGCATCATTGTTTGCCATGTCTTGAAAATCATCAGATACATAGTAAATCTTAATTAAATATGATTCTAATAGATAAAGGAAACAAAAAATGTATGATTATTGCTTTCCTCACCCTCCAAGTCTCCTACAACTGTCCCATAGGCCTGGGTGCCCAGTGAACACCCCTGCTCCTTCTCAGCACACTTACCAACACAGAATCCCTAAATCCCCATCCATTGTCCAACCAGTAGCCTGTATTTCTTCTCCTGGTCCCTCTTTATTCATCCCTCCCCAAATCACACCCATGGATTATCAGTGGTGCTCCACTTGTCCACTAAACCAGGACACCATATGATGGACAACCTTGCATCTTTAACTCCCAGCACATCTCCCCTAAGGGATCTGCTGAAGCCCCCACCTGCCACTGCCCCAATATTCCATGCCTCTTCTCTTGGGTCCTCTCTGTTAAGAGTCCCTATAGTTATGTTTTCACCACTCAGGGACCATTAAGTTTTCCCATGTAACCAGAAAATCCAAATAGTAAATTTACACCTCTTCCTGGACCCTGTCAACATCTCCAAACCATCTATAAGCCTATCCTTTACCCTGCACCACTTCTGTTAGTTCATCTACGTTACAGATGTCCAACGGCCTGCCTTCTACTGGACAGATGCCCCTAGATGCCTAAGAAAACCCATGGAGTGAATCTTGATACTGCTTACGATTCCCTGGGCACATCCAGAAGGACCACCTACCATATCAATTACGTGTGTCCTCTCTCTCTCTCTCTCTCTCTCTCTCTCTCTCTCTCTCTCTCTCTCTCTCTCTCTCTCTCTCTCTCTCCCTCTCCCTGTCTCTGTCTCTCTCTGTCTCTATCTCTCTGTCTCTCTCTGTCCTCTGTCTGTCTCTGTCTCTCGCTCTCTGTCTCCTCTCTCTGTCTCTCTCTGTCTCTGTTACTCTCTGTCTCTCTATCTATCTTTCTATCTATCTATCTATCTCTATCTCTTTCCTGCCCCTGGATGTATGTGTTTGTGCTGGTACCATGCTGGTTTTATTATTTTGATACTGCAGTATAGAACTTTAAATAAAGTATAGTAAAAAAAAACCTTCATCACCATCCCAGTTTCTGGTGTCACCTTGTGTACCTGTTTTTATCATATTTGGTAGAGTCTTCCTTAAGCATTTTCTATGGTGACTTTTTTACTTTAAACCAGCCATTCCATAGGTACAATTTTTTCTTCATTTTAAAGAACTGTGAACTCTACATGTATGAATTTAAATAAGATGGTATTTCTACCATATTTCCCTGTGAACTGAACCCATATCTTCCCCCACAAAGGCCTCCCACAACTTCATGACATTCTTAAGACTAGTTAATGCTGTCCATTTGTGGATGTGTGTGGAGCCAAACAATGCAACCCTACCAATGACCAAAGTCTCAAAAAGGAAGGATTCTCCCGCTCCACTAACTATCTGCATCCAACAGCTCCTCACTAAGAGGTAAGGCCTGGAATTAATCTACACTAGGGATTTGTTCTTGGTACAGTTTACACAGGGGACAACAGCCATGATGAGATCATGAATAGGAGAACCATGTTATGTCCAGTACAGAATTTCACAGCACTCTTCCTCATGCTCCACCTCTTACATTCTTTCTGCCTCCTCTTCTTCAGTGTTCTCTGAGACTTGGAAGAACATGAATGGAACTGGAAATCAATTTGCCAAACAATATAACAATATATAAATAAAACAATATAACAAACATATATCAGATAGGTTTTTGTTATATAAAGTACCTAGATCGTGTGTTAGGTGTTCTGGCTTCTGTTTTGTAGGTTTTGGAGATAGAACAGGAGCCCTAGGAAGGGAAGCCATCTTAAGTGAGGGGCACTGGGAACTTGCCCAGGGTAGTGCTGGACTGGGAAAGCAAAAGTGGGGTGTGGGGAGAGAATGAGAATGAGTAGGAAGGAAACAAGAGAACTGGTTAAATGAGAACAATGTCATTCTAAACATTAATTAAAAGCCCCAGGTATGCTAATTATATTAATTGGGGAATGAAAACTTTCCTAACACAACAGAAGACAATCATGTGTTGCCTGGTGTAAAGATGGAAGAAGATAATGGAAACTGGGAGTTTAAAGGAATCACAGAGAGAATTTCAGGGTGCAGAACAAGTGAGTTTGCTGCAGATAGGAATGTCTCCATAGAAACCACGAGGCAGTAGAGAGGCAGTGACAAGGGATGTCTCATCTATAGTCCTCTTATGTCCTGATGACAGCATTGTCACATAAATATATGAAATTCTGATAATTCCAAAGTGTTCTTGTCACAAGCAAGGAGCTCTGCTAACCTCTCCAGGCAGGTGTGACCCTGTCCAAGATCCACGTATGGGAGAAGCCATGTCCAGCTCAGACAGTGGGAAAGACTGAGCACCTAGGTAGAAACACACCTGTGTGTGGTTCTTTTAATTTCACCAAGAAGACATGACAGTGTAGAAACACAGCATGTTCTGAGCACCTGCACAAAGATAGCTAAATGAAGTAAGGAAAGGATCCATAGAGAACTAGAACACTGTGACTATTTCTATATCTGTCATCAATGTCTTTGATGACTTATATCTGCTCTGAGCACTGCCTTCCTTCCTGGGTTAATCCCAGTGCTTGCTATAGTTAGACAATATGCAAATCAGGCTTCTCTGTGCTCATGAAAACCAGCCCTGCCCTGACCCTGCAGCTCAGGCAGAGGAGCCCAGCCCTGGATTCCCAAGTCCTCCCACTCAGTGATTAGCACTGAACACAGAACACTCACCATGGACTTAAGGCTCAGATGGTGTTTCCTTGTCATTATCTTAAAAGGTAATTAGTAGAGAAAAGATGTTGTGTGCTGTGTGGACATGAAAAAAGAGAAAATTTGCCTTCTGTGACAGTTTTCTGACCAGAATTCTCTGTGTTTTCAGGTGCCCAGTGTGAGGTACAGCTGGTGGAGTCTGGGGGAGGCTTAGTGCAGCCTGGAAAATCTCCAAAACTCTCCTGTGCAGCCTCTGGATTCACCTTGAGTAGCTATTACAGGGCCTGGGTCCGCCAGGCTCCAGGAAAGGGACTGGAGTGGGTGGCATACATTAGTGATGATAGTAGTTACATCAAATATGCCGATGCTGTGAAGGGCCGATTCACCATCTCCAGGGAGAATGCCAAGAACACCTTGTAACTGCAAATGAACAGTCTGAGGCCTGAGGACACAGCCATGTATTACTGTACCAGAGTCACAGTGATAGAATACTACTGTGAGCTCAGACACAAACCTCCCTGCAGGGTGATCAGGACCAGCAGGGGGCGCTAGGTTCACACAAAAATCTGGACCTTGGAAGAGCCTGTTCAGAGAGGCATAGAGGGCTGGACTCCTCTGTGTCTCGGCTGCCTCTTGTAACCCTCTCAAGGATTCTCTTTACAGGTATAGTCTGTAGTAATCCTGGAAGTGTCAAAATTTGTTATTCAAATTTCTGTTTTCCACTGTGATGTGCTGTGATATTATATTGCATTCCTCTCTCATTGTTTCTCTCTCTTCTCTTCTCTCCTCTCTCTCGCTCTCGCTCTCGCTCTCGCTCTGTGTATGTGTGTGTGTGTGTGTGTGTGTGTGTGTGTGTGTGTGTGTTCCTGTACATGTGTGCATGAGTATATTTCTGTGCATGTCGATATGAAATGTTTCTCTGGCAGCCTACACTGAATTTTGAGACAAAATGTTTCACATGTCCCAGATCTCACCAACTAGCTATACTGGTTGGCCAGTGTTCTACATTGATGACATTGTCTCCAAATCTCAGAGGTGGAGTACTTGTTGGCTACCACATGCAGCTTTCTGTAGTTATTGAGAACTAGAAGTATGGATTCCACTCAAGAATTCGTGTGTGGTGAGAACTTGAACCACAGAGCTATCTCCACAGCTTTATTATGGGTTACTTTTAAAAATATATGATATATTCTGATCTGAACAAAATGCAAAGCATCACAAAGGGAAGAAGTGATTCCCTCAGCTCCTGTAAAAGCCAAAGGGACTCGAAATTGTGGAGCACTAACTCAGGGTAGAGTCTCAATATTTACCATGGTGAGAGCACTGTGTGGGATTCAAGTTAGAGTCAATAAGGAAATAAGGCAGGGTCAGAGACCCACGAACCCTGATGACCTTCACTCTCTCCTTAATCATCACAAGATAAGTGCACATCAGACACAGGTGAGGAACTGGTAAGAAAATGTGTGTGAAGTCCCATCCTTGAGACTCTGAGGACAATGCAGCAGTGACACCCACTGAGCTTCAGCAGCTGCAGGAAGCTCATAATCCACTCAATGAGTAACATGTCTTTAGTTTTCTTCTTTAATATTTATTTGTTATGTTTTTACTCATATAATTTCCCTGAATTTAATGAGCCTAAGGAATTTTCTTTTAACATGCTCATCCATTTTCTTTCCTCCAGAATCCTTCCTACGGCTTATAAACACCCTTCCCCAGAAAACATGATATGTAGTCCTTGTACCAAAATCCAAGACTGGGTTCCTTATCTGAAGCTCGGTGAACTCAAGTTTGGATCCTATGGGAACCTGGAAATAATGATTCCTCACTGACCTTTTGGGATCCTATGGATGGTATCACTATGAAAGAACAGGTAAGTATTGGAAACCAGGGAATGTTATTTTTTTCAGTGATAGTATGATGACACGTGAGATCTAGGCGTGCTCAGATTCCCTCAAACTTGTCTCACCTGTGCTGATGTTATAACAGAGGCTGGGATGCTATGCTCTCCTATGAGCTCTGGGGAAATGGCAGAAAAGGGGCTGGGTACTCATAAGTTCAGCCATTAGACGGAGCATCTGGAAACTGCAGAGAGGAATCAAGGCGGCTTCTGCAAAGCAATTTCGTCTTCTCTGTCCTGCCCTTCCATCACCAGGTCCATATACTTACATGAGGACTATGTTCCTGACTAAGAGGAAGCTGAGACTGTTAGCATCGTGCCCACAACAGATCAACAGCCACAACTGTACTGGTGAATGGCTCAGTCACTGGAAATGTGGACCAGCCAGGCTGATGCCTGAGATTGGCCATTGTGATTGCCTCTTATTTCCAAAGAACCTTGGATAATTTCTTTTAAAATCTTTGTTCTGAGATGCATTCTGAGATCCATGCACCACAGTTCTTGTATTTCCTTTATGATTACAAAGTAGATGGGAATCCTCAGAGGGAGAATAGAGAGGAAGCTGAGAGCACTGGATGGAAGGTTGCTACTCTAAAATAAATGAAGAGAGGAGTTAAACATTACTAATTTCCCATGTTTCCAGACATGTCCAATAATGAGGCTGAGTTGTCCATAAAGCACAGGTTCTCATCACAGACACCATCTCTTTGTCTTGATTCTGTCACCCCTGAGCCAAATTGTTGGTGAAAGGTGTTCCAGAATTTGTGGCTTTCACAAATGAGTACCTCAGTGATGCTTCCTAGGGGTCAACTAAGGCCCCTGAGACACTTTTCACATTGTCCTATTTGTAGATAGAAGAATCATCAACATTGTTTCATATCACAAGAGTCTATGAAATATATATACTTCACCTAAGTGAACAGCCCAAGAATTTATGTTGCTGGTTTACAGATCTATGAGTGATGAACTATATTGTATAGTTTTCCTTGCTCCTTAGTGTCTTCTGTATACCCAAAGATGTATAGCCAAGGACAGATGCATGGGTGTGATGAAGAAGGAGCTTTCTGATGTGGCCACACTCTGAGGTCATGTGCTCCCCAACTTGTATCATAGGATTCTACAGCTCTGAGAACAGAAGGCTCAATACCATGTTAGCCAAACAGCATGGGAATGTTTGATGTTGATATTTTTCTTTTTTTTTTAAAGATTTATTTATTATGTATACAGAAGAGGGTGCCATCTCATTACAGATGGTTGTGAGCCACCATGTGGGTGCTGGGAATTGAACTCAGGACCTCTGGAAGAACAGTCGGTGCTCTTAACCTCTGAGCCATCTCTCCAGCCCGATGTTGATATTTTTCAAGGGGCGATTTGAAACATCAAAATCATGGGAAAGAATGCAAGAATGCCTGTGACCTCCCTCTGCTGGGAAAGCTGTGAATGTGTTGCTCTGATTGATTGATTGATTGATTGATTGATAAATAAATCACTGATTGGTCAGTAGCCAGGCAGAAAGTATAGTGTAGGTGGGATAAGGAGAGAGGAGAATTCTGGGAGGTGGAAGGCTGAGTCAGGAGATGCTGCCAGTTGCCGCCATGAGGAGCAGGATGTGAAATACCGGTAAGCCATGAGCCACATGGCAAAGTATAAATTTACAGAAGTGGGTTAATTAGATATAAGAACTAGATAGCAAGAAGCCTGAGCCACACGGCCATTCAGTTTATATATAATATAAGCATCTGTGTGTTATTCTGGTTCTGAGCAGTTGCAGGATTGGCAGGTGAGAGAGATTTGTCCTGACTGTGGGCCAGGCAGGACCAGGAGATAACCCTAGGTACATACTTCAGTTTCTAGAAAAGAGTTACAGAAGATGATGCTCCCATGCCTCAGACATTCTTCTAAAGAAAACTAACATTGTTGTGCTTTACATAAACATAAACATGATTGTCTAAGACCCAGGCTTCTTTGCTGAACTGCAAACATGTAACTCTGTTAGCTAACAAGCTATAAGGATGTGAATGAGACTTGGGATGTGGGAGTGTTGAATATTTGCAGGACACAACCACATTACAGGTTAGGAATTCTTGAATTCTGTCACTCCTATAGTGCCCAGCATGATTGTGAGATCTGCCCTGAGCATAGCCTCCCTTTTGAGCCCACATCAGGAGAACATACATAGATGGAAAATATGCACATAGGACTTCATTCTGCTCAGGCAAACCAGTCCAAACTGGACCTGCATCTCCAGCAGAGGACCCCAATGTGGGATTCCCAGGTCTGCACATTCAATGATAAACACTGAACAAAGACCACTCACCATGGAATTGGGACTGAGCTGGGTTTTCCTTGTTGCTTATTTAAAAGGCAATTTACAACAAAGATATGGGTGAGAGGGAAGGTAGACATGTGTGAGAGTTTTCTGACCAGAATCCTCAGTGTCTGCAGGTGTCCAGGGAGAGGTCCAGCTGGTGGAGTCTGCAGGAGGATTGTTGCAGGCTTGGGTAACTCAATAACTCCCGTGTACCACCTGGATTCACTTTCCATGATTACTACATGAACTACATCTGCCAGGCTCCAGGGAAGGGGCTGGAGAGGATCTCATACATGTGAGACTGGTATTTCAATAAAACATCCAAATTATGTCAAGGACCAATTGACCATCTCCATACATAATTCAAAGAATACTCTGTACCTCATTATGGATATGAGGTACATATGAAAGTCTATGTTACAATCAAGTTTTACTGTGTCAAAAATGCACATGAGGAGACATGCTAGACACAGCCTCCCTGCAGGTTGTCCTCATGAACTTCAGGAGCCGTGAGAAAGCAGCGAGTTCAGAGTCTCCCTGAGCAGGAGCAGAAGTACATGAATGGCTGCAATCCCTGTGTCTGGGCTGCCTCTGCACATCACAGAGACTTTCCAGAAAATCTCTCCACACGTGTGCTGTGTAGGCATATTTGAACTGTTCAAATATAAAACAGTATTTTCTACTCTGATGGACACATTTAAATATAGGGTGTACTCTGACCCAGTCCAGATGAAGACCATCACACCAGTAAGAAGTGACTCTACTGTGAGCACCAACATTAGATTCTGAAATAATTTAGGAACTCTGAAAAGTGGGTTCTCCTAGACTCAGGACAGAGCCTCAGTTGGGTTTCATGGTTGAAACAGTATAGGATTCAAGTTAAACAGAAAAGTCATGCATGGTCAGTGATCCATGAGTCCTGGAAAGCTTCACACCCACCATAGTCCTCACACAATGTGTACACAGCAGAACAAACACTGACCAAGTGGTCTAGCTTGTCATGGGATGTGTGGAACGCCATTGATCCTGGGAAGTCTCCTGCATGCAGACTAGGAGAACAATGCAGCTGGTGACATACCTGAGCCTCAGGAGTCTGTCCTACTCAGCAGGTAAGGTGACTTTGTGCCTCACCTCCCTTTCTAAGAAAGCTGTTGGATCACTCTGCTGGTTGGAGTTTATAGGATCTTCTGTGATGCTGGGAGCTGCCATGTG